TGATTTTGCCCTGCGAATTTACAAGAGGGTAGGGAAAATTTGGAAAAGGGGATGAAGGACGTCCAGATGCAGGCCCTGTAAAGAGTTGAGTCTATGGGCTTGCTTTAGAAGCCGTAGAAATGTATAAGCGAAAGGGTTTTCTCTTCTAGTCTCTCCTATAAACCACCGGGAAAGAACAATAAAACCCAATTTCAAACTTACAATATATTAAATAAATAAATTGTAAACTGCAACTAAGACAACAAGATATCAGTTATAACTAATTATTGTTTATTCAGTTGCGAAAAGAGACCTTAGCAAGAAATATAAAGGGTGGACAATCTACTATTATTATGTATTTCCCCTTTGTTAGTATTTATGTTTAGTTACCTTGGCGTATTTATGAATACGCCTTTGCAGTCTAACTGGAACTCAGGAACAGTCTGCTGAGAGTACTGTACGCTATCACGAATTCCCGAGATACGAAAAATCCGGTACTTATACGGTACTACGTCGGATATAATAAAGCGCTTACTGCCTTACCCCTAGAGTTTTCGCTGATTGTGCCGTCTGCTCCACGTGTTAAAATGGATCATGCAATGGTGTGCTCTGCTATCTCAGCTTAATTCTTATCGCTGGTGTGTCGCTTCGTTATATTATTTTCTAACGAAAGTCTATGGTTTCGTAATTTTTAAACATTCGAAACTTATGCAAATCGAAACTGTAATACACGTTAAAACAAGGTCGGATTTTTATTCTTTATTTAATTTGGAGTATATAATAATTAATTAATTATTATTCTTTTCTAGGCTAACTACCCCTTATTTTGTTTCTTTTATTTTCTTGCTATGTTGACTTGTCACATGCCGGGCTAACTGATTAACGATTGCGCTTAGGAGTGGGGTTGTTTCCCTTGGGTATGTGGTTGATACATTACAGTGTACATAACCTTAAAATGCCTTTTTTTTTCGAAAAAAACGTGTAACTCTTTTTGGAGATGACTGCATGTCTAATGTTTTTTTATTTTGTATACTTTATCAAAAAATATATTACTGATTTTATGTGCTACCTTCAAAAACCCGAAAAACTGAATTTTTTAGGGGTTTTGGAGATTTTCTCAAAGGCTTGAGTTCCGCAATACACACCCTTTGCTCCAGTGCGAAGTACTTACTTACTCCGTGGCGTTACAAACCTTCGTGGGTTTTAGCCTACTCGACAACATCTTCTTCTTCAGCCTTCATTATCCATTGTTGGACATAGGCCTCCTCAAATTGCTTCCACGCTTCCCTATCTTTTGCATTTCTCATCCACTGTTTTTCAGCTACAGCTGTTATATCATCTACCCATCTCTTTTAGGTCTTCCCACGCTTCTTTTTGTTTCTTTAGGTCTCCAGAATGTCACTTTATGAGACCATATGTTGGTGTCTTGTCTTGCTACATGTGCTACCCATTGCCATCTCAATGTCGCTATTTTTCCCATGATGTCGGTTACTTTAGTTCTTCGACGTATTTCGGTATTAGGAATTTTGTCTCTGAGGCTTATATTTAACATGCCTCCACTGATTTCTGTCTTGAGCAACTTCCATCCAATTCCCCTGATTTCTCCTGAGCAATACTGCTTAGGTCTCCTTATAAATTATCTCGCCACCGGAGACGAGGGCGTCCGCGTGGTCTCCTTCCAGTTGGGACTTCCTCCCATACCAGTCTTACTGTTCGTTCATCAGAATGTCTTCTGAGGTGTCCTGCCCATTGGAGTCTTCTGGACTTTATTTCTTTTATGATGTTAGCGCCTGGGTAAAGTTCTTCGAGCTCTTTGTTAGTTCTTATCCTATATTGTCCTGATGCTTCATCCAGCTCAGAACCAAAGATCTTCCTTAGGATTTTTCTTTCCCAAACACATATTCTCTCTTCGATTGCCTTTGTTATCGTCCACATTTCGCTTTCATACATCACAACGGGTCGTATGATTGTCTTATAAACCTGTATCTTCGCACGTCTTGTTAGTTCTTTCGATGTTATAAGGTTTTGGAGGACAAAAAGACATCTGTTGTCGGCCTGAATCCTGTTATTTATTTCTTGTGATCCGTTATTGCCTTCAGCTATTGTTGTTCCAAGATACTTGAATTCTCTAACGCGCTCAAAGTTAAAGTCATCGATGGTGATGTTCTGAACGATTCTGTCTTCTACTTTGGTTATTGCTTGCTATGTGACAGCGAAAACTGCCACAAAGTAGTCCATTCGGGCTGGGTTTATTACTCACGTGACCTCCCTTGGAGCTTGTGTTTGGAGCGAGAATGTCACTTGAGTAATAAACCCCGCCCGAATGGAATACTTTGCTTCAGTTTTCTCTGTCGCACTTCGCACTAGAGGAAAGGGCCTGTATTGCTGAACTCAAGTCTTTGGGAAAATCTCCAAAACCCCTAAAAAATAAGTTTTTCGGGTTTTTGAAGCTAGCACATAAAATCAGAAATATATTTTTTGATAAAGTACACAAAATAAAAAAAAACATTAGACGTAAACATTAAATCTCCAAAAAAGTTAGACGTTTTTTTTCGAAAAAAAGGCATTTTAAGGTTATGTTCACTAAATCTACGGGTGTATAAAAAATAGAAAAGTTTTGTAAAATCCTCAACTAAGCGTGTGAATTATTTGAAATTTTTAAGTTGATTGCAACCCACCGAAAAAAAAAATTTACAAAAACGAAAAATTTACGTTTTTGAGAGTACCTACTTTAATTCTCACTTGCTTCATTGTACTTAATTATGCTTTTTCTGTAGATTCGTTAAGTATTTTCATTTTAAAATATCAATTAATTGGAAAATATAGAACAAAAAGCAAAAGTACAATTATCATTCCAACTTTTGCGATCAAACACGTGTAATGTATTCTAATATGTTTATTTAAACCTTATGTGGTCGGTAATTAACACAATTGATCCATTAGATTATTTGTTTCCGACTTTTTAATACTGCTTATTTTTTATTTGGCTCGATTCCAGAAAGAACATCGTGGCAATTTACGAAACCATTTATTATTGAAACCTCGCGATCTTACCGACGATTACGTAAGGTAAAGTCACGTCAGTTCGAATTATTTATGTCATTAATTTATTGTATTGGTCATTTCCCTAGTGGAAACCGCATGCAGTTGGGTTTAGCGTTCTTCCGTTGTATTTTTAACATAAATATTTCAAAATCTTTCAATTTGTTATCTTGGTCATCTACATGTATCAGATTGTCAACGTCCTGTAGTATTTTATTTCTTTTCACACTATCAAAAGCTTGATTGAAGTTTATATACTGTATGTTTTTATTATCTTTTAATTTCTTATTAAAAATGTTCTTAACACTCACACAATAATTTATATAATTATTTATTATTGAACAATATAAGTTCATATTGTTGACTAACTCTTTACAATAAAATTTTCTCTATGTATATTTAATTAAACATTATCTGGAGTTCACTTGGATGTACTAGAATGGGACCTTCTATCTGGTCTCTTCGGTGAATCTTCGTGTACTTCTCGAATGCTATGGGACCCAGGCACTTTTGGCACAGGGAACTCTGGCTTTACTCATCTGTTTCTAGAAAGCAGGTAGTTTACCATTAGTTAATGTTAGGTTAGGTTAGGCTATCATCGCTAGGATCATCATGGAAATGAGTACTACAAGAAAATAAGAAACTGATCATGCGAATCGGAGCCCAAAATCCGACAGGGGAGGAACAGATAAGGACTCCCAGGTCGTTAACCGGCGAAACCCTTGTCAAACATAGAAGCAAGGCAAAGTAAAATTATCAAAAGCAAAAATTGGTTCGTGGGACGTCAAAAGCATGTATCAACCTGGTAAAATGCATAAAATTCTTCAAGAAATGAGAAGAATGAATATAAATCTATTATGTGTAAGTGAAACATGGTGGCCTAACTCAGGATACCGTTCGACAGAAACTGGTATCTTATATTACTCGGGAAACATTAATATTTCTACGAATTTTGCACTCTAGGATGTACCAAAAAATAGAGCAACAACTTGGTGACACACAGTTTGGATTCCGCAATAACCTTGGAACAAGAGAAGCACTATTTAGTATCAGTAGAACGATAGAGGCGATCGTCTAATACAATTCTGCCAAGAACAAAGTCTAATAATCACAAACACGTTCTTTAAATTACCTATGAGACGGTTATTTACATGGCGCTCACCAGCAGATAAAGATAAAGATAGTAAGAAACCAAATCGATTATATAATGATTAGAGATATCGTAACACCATCAAATCAGTTAAAACATATCCAGGAGCAGATCTCACTTCAGACCATAGTCCACTAATCGCTAATATCACGCTTAGCTTATGAGAAAACCTCGAAGAACTTCAAAATTAGATATAAGAAAACTGATATAAAAAACAAATTAAGGCTTCATTGTTACTGACCATCTGACTAATCGTCTTGTCTTCTGTTTCTCGCCAGCTGTTTCTTTGTTTTGGATGTTGTTTTATCTCGTTTGTACACCGTTTATGCAGTTTCTGTCTAACAGAGTACTTTTAGTTTACTCCGTTTGAAAATTAATTGATAGCCAAATTTTTATGACACAACTATCCAAAAAATCTGTATCTGACATCTCAAGAACGCTGAACCGGACTATATAGTTGTTATTTGAAAAAGAGACACAATTGTAGGTGTCATTGATTTTATAATTATTTCCGAATCGACGTTACTTTGACATTGCATGACATGTTTTGAATAAAAATAATGTCTTGTCATTTAAGAAATTAGTTCAAGTTGGTTTGGCCGGTAAAATGGAACCGTTTTACGAAGGTACCTTCATAGTATAAATTTTAAATCTATTTGAAAAACATTCATACATTCCTACACAAAAGATACTCCAATTTTTGACAAATAAAGGAATTTTTTTCGAATTTTACCTTAGAAATTATAATTTTTTATTGTAGCGACTTTATAAATTCTGAAAATGATAGTAATTTAAAACTGTTTGTCCATAATCGATGTTTCTTTTACAGATCAAACTGCAGATTATGACCTTATCGTTATCGGAGGTGGTTCCGGAGGTTTGGCCGCCGCCAAAGAAGCCACCAACTTGGGAGCCAAAGTCGCTGTTCTGGATTACGTCACTCCCAGTCCACGAGGTACGAAATGGGGTTTGGGAGGTACGTGTGTCAACGTAGGATGCATCCCCAAGAAGCTGATGCACCAGGCCGCGTTATTAGGAGAAGCCATCCATGTAAGTCTTGTTTTTTGATACAGTAAGAACCTAACTGTTATTGATAATATATATCTATGAGTATGCGAGATGAGTAGGTCTAAGCTTGGAGTTAAGAATGCTGTTTTTGTTCTAAAAAGAGTCTACCTTGCATGATGATCTGCAGAAGACTATATTTATCATTCCTTAGTGTGTGTCCAAGGTATGAAGTCTTGTGTGGTATACAGTCTTGGATTAGATTTATGTTTAGAGGTTTGACTTTCAGCTGAAGTAGCATCATACGTTCGTTAAAGGGAATGAAATTTGTCACAAACTATTTTAAATTATGTTGATAATAATACCAACACCATGGCTGTGTTCTCCGGTGCTTTTGCTTGAGTAGAAAATAGTATTATTATCCTTGGTGTAGTTTCCAGAATTTGGCCATCGAACTTCTGAAAGGCCCAATACTTGTAAGTCTAATTTCTGTGGGTGATAAGGAATCCAAAATGAACTTTCTGTTAACGACATATCAACCAGAACAATCAAATTTATGTATGCACTAATACACATTTTACTTGGAGAAGTTTTTGTTAGCGAAAAGTCATCTCAAAATGAGTTATTTTGTAACAAAATCAGTGAAATTTGAATGTCTCTGACAAGATTTGAATTGATTGAATTTGAATGAATCTGACAAGATCACAGCAGAACAACCCTCCTAGAAGAATCCTTATATCACAACCTGTGGGAAGTAGAAGTAGGGCTAGGCCAAAACTCAGATGAAGGGATGGTGTAGATGAGGAAGGTAGAAAGATAGGCGCAGCAAACTGGCAACAGTTGGCAATGGATAGAACTGACAGGCGTGACAGACTTGGGAAGGTCGAGGGTCTTTTATAGGGCTATAGCACTAATGATGATAATGGAGGAAGTTTCTGTTGACGAATAATCATTCAAAATGACCAATTTTGCACGGAGTAGGTAGTATTTGTGTATTTTCTGTTGGAGGAGTTTGTGCTGGTAAAAACCGATCTAAACGAAGAATTCAGATGTAGGAGGTTATCTATATTCATTTGGAGGAATATCTGTTGGTGAAAAACCAACACAAGGACAAATTTATATACGGAGAAATTCACAATCACCATTTGGAGAAGTTTTTGTCGCCAAAAAATCGTCTAAAATCAATTTAGATATAGAAGATTACGTATTTTCACTTGGAGAAGTTTCTGTTGGTGAAAAATCATTCACAACGACAAATTTTTTATGCAGGAAGTTGCTGTTGACGAATAATCATCCAAAACGACAAATTTTGGCATGGAGTAGATCGTATTTTTTATATTTATTTAGAGGAATCTCTGCTGGTAAAATCGATATAAACAAAGAATTCAGATATAGAAGGATATATGTATTCATTTGGAGAAGTTGCTGTTGATTAAACACCATCTAAAACCAAAAAATTTTTTAATTGAACATAAAAAATTTATTTACGTATGTGGAGGAATCTTTGTTGGCGAAAAATCAACACAAGGAGGAATTCACAAATTTATGATGGAGAAAAGGTGAGATTTCTGTATTTTTATTAGGAGAAATTTATGCTGACGAAAAACCATGCTAAACATGGAATTTATGGAAGAAGTACACGTTTTAATTGTTTAACAAATTGTATCAACGTTCTCATCATATATGTCGAAAAGTATTCAGCTTTTCCTCGTAGTTTGCAATAATTTGTATCACTTAATTTTGTATGCGTTTCATGAATCTCTGAAAAGTTCAAATTGCTTAATGATAAAGGTATTAAAACATCAACCAATGAAGGCATAAAAAAGACATGATGTATGTGAAAAAATGCAACCTATAAAAAAATGTCTCGTTAAAATATTGACAATACGAACAAGGATGACTTTAAAAATGCTGAATAAGTATGAAAATTATATATTTTACAAATTGTTCTAAACGATGGAAAACGTGGAAAGTTTTTATTATCAGTAGTGGTTTACTTAGTGTCGGCGTTTTATTTTGGGATTAGCATAATAAAATCTGTGCAAATGAGGTAATTTAATTATAAGCAAAACTGTTTTTAGATGAATTGCATAGTTATTCTTAGTAAATTATTCTGATGTAATTTAACTAGTTGTCCTTGATTATTCATATCCTATATAAGTGTACTCAACGATAAAGAAAAGATCATCTAATTTTTTTATTACAACTTGAATGTAAAAATCAATTTTCGATTTTAATTTTTTCGCAAATATCTTATCAAATTTATTTTTATGTGTAAAATATTTGTTTTTGATGTACAAGTTTTGTACTGTTTTGTGGATTCCACAAAGAAGTCTACCTCAGGGCTCCATCATCTTGATAATTTGGTTTATTCAATGTTAAATATGGTTTTCAGAATTATTTAATGACTTTATTTTTAATAAAAAATATTTATTGAAGCATCATATTCTTGTTCTTCGCGTGCCAAACACTACAAATTTGGTTTGGTGTGTGAGTTTCTTTTAATGTCCATTTCCTCTCCTACCTCTTGAATACGATTAAGCAGAATTTGGTGACCTTCAATATTATCTGACAGAATTATACATTAAGTAGTTCCCCGTTGATTTTTATTCCAAATGGTTGTCATAAATAGTACACATAAGTAAACATTGAACAATGTTGGCGACAAAATGCAACCTTGTCTGACTCCTCGTTGTATGGAGATTTCATCGGTGTAGTTATCTCAAATTTTTTACGATAGCGGTTTTAATTCCACTACAAATTTTTAGTGACAGGAATATCCTTGTCATCTATTCCGATATTTTTCAGTATTTGCATTAATTTTACATGCTATACGAATATATATTACCTATACAATTATATATTCCACGAAACATGCAATTACATCTTTTCTTTGGTCACGGCATTTTTGTAATAGGATGTTAGGCGCAAAAAGTGTCTCGTTTCCATAGCATTTCTAAAACCAAATTGGGTATCTTCGAGATCTTCGCATTTGGTTTGCAATTCTATTGTGAAGTATTCTTAGGAAATTTTAAAAATGTGGCTCATTGGGCTAATTAATCGATATTCTGAGCATTTTCTCGCATTGTGTTTGAGCTATTGCGACAAAAATGGATTTTAGCCAATCTGTGGAAATCACTCCGGTGTTATATATTGAATTAAAAAGTCTTACTACTACTTTTATGTTATCATCCTTTAGTAGTTTCAGCAACTCAGTTGGTGTTTCATCTGGACCACAAGCTTTTCTAATTTTAACATTATTTATACGTGTTCTACCTCGCATTTCATAATTTCTGAGCCGTCAGTACAGTTTTGGTAGAATTCGGCAATCTTATTTCTGTCATCTTCAAACAACTCTGATATATACAGCTGCCATTCTTTTCTTATTTCGTGCTCATTTACAATAATTTTAATATTATTGTCAACGAGCACAGGGGGGACTCGTTTTTTAAATTAGTTACTCATTTCTATTAGTTTTTTGGGTACATTAAAGTCGTGTTTAGATTTTCTCATCAATTTTTCTTTGGCTAATTTGATCTCCTTTTTTATTTTTCTCTGCAGGTGTGTATATTCTGTTTCATTAAATTTTATCAGTCGACGTTGTTCTATTAATTTCAAGATGCCATCTGTCATCCATTTATTTGTCTTGATTAAGTTTTTTCTATAATCATTATTTGTGGAGATTTCGTTAACTTGGTTTTTAAATTCACTCCATAGTTCTTCTGGATCTTCTAGTTGTTCTCTAAGCATCATATATAATCATAAAAATAAGATTTCTTTACTCTCAGACTCTGAGCTATTGTCTGATTGATGATGATACGATTGATCCGATGAGCTATCTCTGATTGTAATAGGTATGACTTAAGTTTGCCCAAATAAAATCATTACCGTTGAACTCGCAGTGATAAGATGGAGGTCTCAACGTTTCACGGCCATTTTCTTTGGGTAATAATTCAGGTTTTGTGAGTTTTGCGTCATACCTGATCTTGCTTTTTGTCATCCAGGTACTAATTTCCATTCTAGTTTAAACAGTGGAAGGTTGCTTTTCTAAAAGAGCACTGTGATATGAAGCATTACCCATCACAATAATCAATGATGGCTCTTCGAAATTGGGAATTCATTGTTCACTTATCCATTTAGTGAAAATGTCATTGTTCATTTCCCCATGATAATCAGCTACTTTAGTATCAAATCACCGTATGACTTCATCTTTGTTGTGTTTGGACAAGCAGCTTAAAGTTTCTGTGAGTAGGAAAGATATGTAATATAAAAAATAATTCGCCAAGAATGCCATACTTGTGGAAACATCCATCTGATGGACTGTATTCTTTTATGGAATATAAGTTTTCTTTAAAAAAAACTTAAATGATTCTGATACGAAACTCAGGTCTAACAAAGTAATGGAATAGTTTTACAGTTTTTCGATCAAAGTTTCTATGGATAATTTGATATAACCAAAGGTGATCTATACTTACTTACTCCGTGGCGTTACAACCCTTCGTGGGTTTTAGCCGACTCGACAACATGCCTCCACTGTTTTCTGTCTTGAGCAACCTCCATCCAATTCTCCACGCCCATAGTGCTTAGGTCTCCTGCTATATTATCTCGCCACCGGAGACGAGGGCGTCCGCGTGGTCTCCTTCCAATTGGGACTTCCTCCCACACCAGTCTTACTGTTCGTTCGTCAGAATGTCTTCTGAGGTGTCCTGCCCATTGGAGTCTTCTGGACTTTATTTCTTTTATGTTGTTGGCGTCTGGGTAAAGTTCTTCAAGCTCTTTATTAGTTCTTATCCTATATTATCCTGATGCTTCATCAAGCACCGGACCAAAGATCTTCCTTAGGATTTTTCTTTCCCAAACACGTAGTCTCTCTTCATTTGCCTTTGTTATCGTCCAAGTTTCGCTTCCATACATCACAACGGGTCGTATGATTGTTTTATAGACCTGTATCTTCGTACGTCGTGTTAGTTGTTTTGATTTTATAAGGTTTTGGAGGGCAAAAATACATCTGTTGCCGGCCTGAATCCTGTTGTTTATTTCTTGTGATCCGTTATTGTCTTCAGTTATTGTTGTTCCAAGATACTTGAATTCTCTAACGCGCTCAAAGTTAAAGTCATCGATGGTAATGTTCTGACCGATTCTGTCTCTGCTTTGGTTATTGCGGCTCATATACATATATTTCGTCTTGTTTTCGTTGATTTGGAGCCCCATCTTCTCTGCTTCCTTCTCAAACCTTACGAAAGTTTCCTTCATCCTTAATCGCGTGTTTCCTATTAGATCTATATCGTCTGCAAATGCCAGTAGTAAGTTTGGTCCTTCTCGATGAAATACTGTATTCGGTTTTTCGATTCTTGCACTTCTGATTATGTGCTCCAGAGCTAAGTTGAAGAGTTGTGGTGAAAATGCATCTCCCTGTTTTAGTCCATTGTTTATTTCAAATGTCTCCGAGTATTGTTGTTCAACTCTCACCTTACATCGTAACCGTTCCATACACATCCGTATCAACCGGACTAGTTTTTTTGGAAAGCCAAGTTCCTGCATCGCTGTCCACAGTCTGTCCCTACATACTCTATCAAATGCTTGTTTAAAATCTATGTACATCTGATGAAGCTCACGATCAACCTCGCAGCATTTTTCCATTATCTGTTTTATTGTGAATATCTGGTCAATTGTAGAGCGGCCCGGTCTGAATCCGCATTGATAATCTCCAACGATTTCTTCTGTGTATGTTTTGGTTCTTTCTAGCAGGATGTTTGCAAGGATTTTGTAGGTGGTGTTTAGGAGTGTTATTCCCCTGTAGTTAATACATTGTTTTTTGTTTCCTTTTTTGTGTATTGGTACAATAACCCCTTCTTTCCATTCATCTGGCATTGTTTCTTCTTGCCAAATGTCTTGAATTAGCTTGTATATCGAACTGTACAACGCTTCTCCTCCATGTTTTAAGCACTCTGCGGGTATACCATCGCTACCTGGTATCTTATTATTTTTGAGTTTTTTAATTGCCTGTATTACTTCTTCGTATGTCGGGTATTGGTCTTCTATTTCAGCTGTATGTACCTCTATGTTTGATGTACTTCTGCTAGATTGGTCATTCAATAGTTGATAGAAGTATTCCTTCCAGGTTTTTAAGATTTCCTTGTCATCAGTGAGAAGCTGTCCACTGTCGTTTTGAAGAAAGTTTCCTGTTCTTGCTTGGTGCCCGGTCTTGATATCTGAAACTCCTTTAAAGAACTGCCTCGCTTGTTTGTTCTTTCTTGTTCTCTCAAGGTGATCTATCCATATCCAAATGGTCTCCTAGATGGCTCATTTGGTGCCAAAAAGGGAACTTCGACCATTTTGTTTGTAGCTAAATAACATTGAAAATATATTGAATAGTAACGGCGAAAATAGACAACATTGTCGTACTCCTTTTAAGAAACGTATTTTACGAAGTTTCTTTGCATATTTTAACGTAATTTCTTATTGTTAGGATGCCCAAACATATGGATGGCAACTACCTCAACCAGAAAAGATTTCACATAATTGGGAAGCGCTCAAGGATGCTGTACAAGGTCACATTAAGTCAGTTAATTGGGTAACGAGAGTAGAACTTAGAGATAAGTAAGTATTAAGATTGTGTCAAGTAAACATAACGTTTTTAAATGTGTTAAAGTTTTCTATAATTATTTTTTCGATTTTTCATTGCGTTTCAGATCTGTTGAATACATCAATGGTCTAGGTACATTCGTCGACCCCCACACGATCCACGCCCAAACGAAGAAGGGCGAGAAGATAATCACAGGAAAGAATATTCTGATAGCCGTCGGCGGCAGGCCCCGATACCCAGACATACCTGGTGCTGTAGAATACGGAATCAGCAGCGATGATATTTTCAGTTTAGAAAAACCTCCAGGAAAAACTCTAATCGTAGGTGCTGGATACATAGGCTTAGAGTGCGCTGGATTTTTAAACGGTCTAGGATACGACGCTACTGTCATGGTGCGATCAATTCTCCTTAGAGGCTTCGACCAACAGATGGCCAATGTGATTCAAGCCGAGATGAAAGAGAAAGGAGTTAAATTCTTACACAAGTAAGTCATATTTGTTTTTATATCATATTTACGAAAAATTGTATTAAATTTTTATCAAACAAAGTTAATCATTATAAAATCCGTAAAATTTTACGGATTTTATTATTAGATGTCGCTATTGCGTCCGTATTGAAGCCATTTTAGTGTTGCTTCTTAGAAGACAGAAAATATTGATTTTTTACGTTGAGAACATCTATGAATAACTGTTCTGATGAGACCTATTAGGTCGAAATACTTTACTCGAAATAGGCGCTTTTTGCGCGAAATAAATATTTGCTGTCTTTTTCATTTTAATCATTATAGTTTATAGGTCTCAGTCTGGAGTTATTTCTCTCTGCGGTTACTACCGGCATTAGTTTGAATCTGTATTGGAGTTTTTGTAGCGTTTGGGGAAAGATTTGACTTTAGTGATATACAAATATTATATTTTGCGATTAAAGTTGATCCCGTGTGTTCGGATTTCTAAGCTTTTCTGAACATTTGTGGACAGATAGTTTGCTGATTCTCCTATGTACCTGTGTTTGTTCAAATGTATTGTTTGACTTGTGTAATGAATTGCAGTTCCTCATGTGCTCATTCAAATGATATTCATGCGATGCGTTGTCGTTCTGATATTAACTGAGCGACAGGTAGGAATCCCGCGCACTAGGCAGTCTGGATGCGACAGCAACTCAAATCCCGACGGTTTACAGGAGCCCGCGCACTAGGCAGCCAGGAATACCTGGCTGTGGTAGTCACTAGAACGTGTCCTTTACATTGGCTGCCCATTTGCTTATACAGTTGCCTTCAGTGTCAGCCAGACCTATCCCCAACGTTTTTAAAATTTGGAATTGGTTTGTTGAATTATAAAAATTTATAATTTCGGGAAGGTTTTTTTTCATTATTTTTGATTGTAGCTGTATGGTGTAGTGAAGACAGCAGTATGACAGCTTTACGCTTTTTAGGCACATATGATAGGAGTGTTAGTGAGAGCGCCCACCAAAGTGGCGTGGCAGTGGCAAGTAGCAAGTAGCACGCGTCTAGCATAATGTAACCAATCCAAACGAATGATTAGAATGAATTACGTCACTGTCATTTTGGTGTAAACTGAATCATTCGTTTTCATGATTGAACTGAATCATAAAGAAAAACAGGCAAAGGTATCGATTGTACATTTAAAGTTGTAAAATATCTCTGACAGTATTTATTTATTTGAAAAGTTGGAAATAACAATAGATAAAACGAGATATATATGTATATGAAATTCGTCTAAATATAAGTCCATTGTGTAACCTAAAGATAAATATTTTTTACGATTCACCGGTACTTCAATTTTACACAACTATGTCATTAGCAGTAATATTACTTTTATCTGTTTACGACACATGTGACTACTTGAAAAATGTCCCAGATTGTTTAAACAAAAACGCCGATTTAAACAATTCGAGTGCCTTTAAATTTTTTATCGGCTGTTGGGTAATTCCAAACAAAAATAAATTCATGAGAAAAGGCAGCAAATATTTGATTTCACGCAAACAAATCCTATGTATCTCTTGATACGTATTTCGACCTAATAGGTCTCGTCAGAAGAGCTATTCATAGGGGTTCTCAACGTGAAAAAATCAATATTTTCTGCCTTTTAAGAAGCAACATAACATGGCTTCGATACGGGACGCAGTAGCGACATCTAATTAAACAATCGTAAAATAGTTTCGAAACACAATTCAGATTTCTGCTTTATAATCTGAGCCTTCTAAGAATTGCAAGGCAAACAGACGTTGATAAAGATGTTAAAAGAGACACGGGGAATCTAAAATTTGCATTCCACGACATGTCTTTTACAACTAAGCAGAAATCCTTAGCGAATTGTGTTTCTTGTACTCCCACAGAGTAAATCCGAATAAAATGAGAAAAGGCAGCAAATATTTGATTTCACGCAAACAAATCCTATGTATCTCTTGATACGTATTTCGACCTAATAGGTCTCGTCAGAAGAGCTATTCATAGTTCTCAACGTGAAAAATCAATATTTTCTGCCTTATAAGAAGCAACAATAACATGGCTTCGATACGGACGCAGTAGCGACATCTAATTAAATTGTTGTATTATTTTACGATTGTTTAATTAGATGTCGCTACTGCGTCCGTATCGAAGCCATGTTATTGTTGCTTCTTAAAAGGCAGAAAATATTGATTTTTCACGTTGAGAACCTCTATGAGTAGCTCTTCTGACGAGACCTATTAGGTCGAAATACGTATCAAGAGATACATAGGATTTGTTTGCCCGAAATCAAATATTTGCTGCCTTTTCTCATTTTATTCGGATTTACTCTGTGGGAGTACAAGAAACACAATTCGCTAAGGATTTCTGCTTAGTTGTAAAAGACATGTCGTGGAATGCAAATTTTAGATTCCCCGTGTCTCTTTTAACATCTTTTATCAACGTCTGTTTGCCTTGCAATTCTTAGAAGGCTCAGATTATAAAGCAGAAATCTGAATTATTTTACGAAAAATAAATTCATTGGCATTTAAATCACTTTTTGAGACAATTTGTCAACTGCGAACCCAATTTGGACCCTAAAAATCGGGTATTCAGAGTAACTCGAACAAATTTGGAATATCTTAAAACATTTAAATGTTATTATCCAAAAATAAACTGCCAAGAAAACTTATAGTGATGTCCTTCCTTTTGCATGAAAATTCTTTACTTCCCGTACCTCACAGGGTTAAGATTGGCCATGGCGTGTGAAGGAAAGCGTCTTAAAATATCCGCCTTACATTCCGGATTCATAACTGTGTCATTGGCACGTGTTTGGTTCATTAGAATAGTAGACATCTACTATATTTAACACAAAAGAGAAAAATATACTTTATTGATTACATTAAATTATCTTTTTAAGACTAAATAATACAATAATTTAAAAAAAATAGTGGTAATTACAATATTATCAGACTATTAACAACCATGAAAGAAAAGACACTAAAAGAAATTGTTTATTGTTCTTATTTTTCTTTATCGTACTGGTTGCCAGGAGAGCTCAGCGGCTAGTTTGGCGTCCAAAAATTGATAGACCATTTAGCGTTACCCAGGGTGCACCACGTGGAGGCGATCTATCATTACACCCCCTGATGTAAGTAAGCTCCCCTGGTGTAAGCTGATGAAAATCATACCTTGCCTCAAAACTTGTCAGCTGATAAACAATCTACTGACTAACAGACTGTTTCAGGTATATATGAATGATGCACAGAGTAACGTTAGAAAACTTAACAACGGCTTACCTCAAGGCTCAGTGCTAGCTCCTTTATTATTTAACCTTTATACAGCAGATATACCTGAAACAAAATCGAGAAAAATTTGCTTATGCTGACGACCTGGCCATTGGCTTCCAAGATAATAGTAAAGAAGCAGGAGAACGAGCTCTAAACGAGGACTTATCTACACTAAGTAACTATTTTAAGAACTGGCGCTTACGTCCTAACACAAGCAAAACTGAAACCTGTCTCTTTCACCTGTCGAATCAACTTGCGGGCGATACTCTCAATGTAACTCTAAATGACACAGCTATCAAACATAACAACAACCCCAAATATCTAGGCGTCACACTTGATAGAACACTCACCTTCAAAAATCATCTTACAAACGCAGCCGGTAAACTAAGAACACGAAATAACTTAATATCAAAACTTGCTGGAACAACTTGGGGTGCTTCTGCAGATACTCTTCGGACCTCTGCTCTAGCTTTGGTTTTTTCAGTGGCAGAATATTGTGCACCAGTATGGCTAAATAGTGCACATACAAGCAAAATCGATGTCCAACTTAACCAAACCATGAGAATAATCACTGGAACAATAAAATCAACGCCATTGAGATGGCTGCCTACTCTGAGCAATATTGCTCCACCAGATCTACGCCGTACAGCAGCATTAGTGAGAGAGTACCAGAAAATTGTAGCCAACGTACAATTACCAATACATCAAGATATCCCAGACATCTCAAAAGAGCACCAACGATTGAGATCTAGAAATCCTCCAATACGATCTGCCCGAAAAATTGGTAATTCCTATGATATACATAGACAATGGACAACAAGATGGATGCCAACAGTAGAATCGGACTATATTAAGATATCCACCCCAACTCAGGGTTTCATCGGATCAAATCTGCCCCGGTCCATTTGGGCAAGGCTTAATCGTATACGTACCGGACATGGTAAATGTGCTGATTCGCTGTTCAGGTGGGGTCGTGCAGAAAGTCCACAGTGCGATTGCGGAGAATCTAGACAGACCATAAGCCATTGTGTTTCAGACTGCTTGAATCGTGCCTACCGTGGAAACCTCCAGGACTTTGCGGAATGTTCCCCAGAAGCAATTGAATGGCTATGTAAATTGGACATTAATATTTAGTGTCATTCATTCTATTCATTCTATTTTTACTATCTTTAGTGTTTGAATAATATATATATATATGTGTATATTATTGTAATTGTATTTGTATATTTATCGTACTGTGAAAGTCCATACGCTAAATAAATAATTGTTTATTGTCTTAATATGTAGAGAAATTCTTTAAATAGAGTTCTATCTGGATCTGTGTTTTTAGATTGAATAATACTGCCTCTTTTGAAGTTTTGGTTTAATATATTTTATGTTTGTTTCTATGTAAGGACAATTTTGTTTATTGTGACATTTTGACTATAAGCTATGACCAGCAATTCTATAGCATATATCTCAATTATGATTTAATGAATGTTTTATTTTGCAGATCCATCCCCACTGAAATTAAGAAGGACAATGACGGCAAATTGCATGTTTCATGGAAGAACGATAGAGGAGAAACATTCACAGACACTTTCGATACAGTTCTTTTTGCCATTGGCAGAAGAGCCCTGACGAAAGAGTTACATTTAGAAAATTGCGGTGTCAAAGTTGCCGGTGACGGAGAAAAGATTGATGCTGTTAACGAACAGACCAACGTACCTAATATTTATGCCGTAGGAGATGTTTTATATGTAAGTAGATCATCAATAAATTACTTCTTCTTCAAGTGCCATCTTCGTTCCGAAGGTTGGCGATCATCAGGGCTATACGTATTTTCGAAACTGCTGACCGAAACAATTCGTTGTTGCTACAGTTATACCATTCCCGTAGATTCTTTAGCCAGGAGTATCGTCTTCTTCATATGGACCTTTTTCCTGCTATTTTCCTTTGCATAATTATTCGAAGTAGTTCATATCTTTCGCCTCTTGTAATGTGTCCCAAGTATTGCAGTTTTCGATTTTTGATCGTAAATATGACTTCCTTTTCTTTATTAATTCTTCTCATGACCTCGACATTTGTGACCCTCTCGGTCCATGATATTCTCAGGATTTTGCGATACATCCACAGTTCAAATGCCTCTAATTTTTTGGTATCAATCTTTTTCAACGTCCATGACTTCATTCCGTAGAACAGCACAGAAAGTACGTAACATCTCATCAGGCGAAGTTTCATTTCAAGGCTCAAATATCTTCCGCAGAACACCCTCTTCATTTTAGTGAATATGGATCTGGCTTTTTCTATTCTTATTTTGATTTCTGCTGAGCTATCGTTGTCGTCATTTATAAAAGTCCCTAAATATTTGTATTTGCTAACTCGATAGATAATTTCATTGTGTAAATATAAATTTTGGACATTTTGTGTTGATTTCGATATTACCATAAATTTAGTTTTCTTTATGTTCAAAGATAGTCCATATTCTTTGCTGCAGTCTTCTATCTTATTCACCAATGTCTGTAGCTCTTCAAGTGTTTCTGCGATCAGAACGGTGTCGTCGGCAAATTTCAGATTGTTTAATCTAACACCATTTATTTTAATACCTACGGATTGCTCAGAGAGTGTTCTATTCATTATGTCTTCGGAATAGAGATTAAACAGGGTTGGTGACACCAACCCTGTTTAATACACCTGATACACCCTTGTCTCACACCTCGCCTCATTTCAATTTTTTCAGTGGTATTATTTTCTACTCTCACTACTGCTTTCTGATTGTAGTACATATTTTCTATTAGTCGGATGTCTCGTTTATCTAAATTCTTTTCTGTCAGGAGTCTGATTAGGTGATCATGCCGCACTTTATCAAAGGCCTTGTTGTAATTTATGAAAGACATGAATACATCTTGATTTATGTGAAGACATCTTTGAGTCATAACTTTCAGTGCAAACAACGCCTTTCTTGTTCCGAGTCCATTTCGGAATCCAAACTGGGTATTATTGATGTCCATTTCCAGTTTTCTGTGTACTCTAGAGTGTATAATTTTCGGGAATATTTTCAGTACATGGCTCATCAGACTGATTGTACGGTAATCACTACATTGTTTGCATTTATCTTTTTTGATATAATAACAAAGGTGGATAAAAGCCATTCTTGTGGTATTTTTCCTGATGTTAAATGCTATTGAAAAGTTCAACTAAAATGTGAATCGAGTATTTTTCTATTAGTGTAAGGATTTCCGTTGGTATTTTCTATTACTTCCTCTTCCATTATTTCTGGACCTTCGTCTCCTTTAATAATAATAATAAATTACTAACTGCAAACAATAATTTAGTATACAACTTTTCTTAATAATAAATTTGTCTTTTTTGCAGAAAAAGCCAGAACTTACCCCAGTGGCAATTCTTGCCGGACGTTTCTTAGCTCGTCGTCTATTCGGTGGTGCAAGTCAAACAATGGACTACGAAAATGTAGCCACTACAGTATTCAGCCCTCTAGAGTATGGTTGTGTCGGCTTAAGCGAAGAAACAGCCGTAGAACGATTTGGTGAAGACAATATTGAAATATACCACGGATATTACAAGCCCACTGAGTTCTTTATTCCACAGAAAAGTATTGCCAACTGTTACTTAAAGGTAGTCGCAAATAGGGAGGGTAACCAAAAAGTTTTAGGATTGCACTTCATTGGACCAAATGCTGGAGAAATCATTCAAGGATTCGCCACAGCAATCAAGTAAGTTTTTACCATTCTTTATTTCAAGTTAAGAAAATAACATTACGCTTATGGAGATCAGTGATTCTGATCAGCAGATTGTGAATGAAATCAGTGAAATGAAAATCAGCAGATTTTCATTTTTAAATTAACATTTAACTGTAAAGTCAGAATAAACTACTAAATAAAAGCCTTATTATCATTATGTAGTCAGAGAACGACATAAATAGCTGACATACGCACATCGTATTATTTTAAGTTGCAATTAGTAATTAGATATAGGCATTCCAAGCCGTCAATATTTTCTACTGATTTCTATGATTCATAACATATCGTATTCTCACCGAAAAACAAATAAACTGTCGTTACTATAATTAAAATAAGATAAAATAAAATTATCTTTTGTAAATACTATTTATCTAATTAAAATCATTTTCCCTACTTTTCATCTCTTGTTTCGAATGGGAACTTTTGGTCAATTACGTTAAAAAACATTAATTCATGTTTGTGGAAACGGAAATATAAATTATACAACCCTAAATAATTGCTTGTGTGTGTCGTGGCAACGCCGCGTTTCTATCGTCCATAAGAAATACATGGCCCTATCTCCGCAATGTTATTTTCTAAACGTGGAACGTAGTATAGTTTAAACATCTAAGATTCTGTCTAGACTGATATAAGATCAAAACTGTAATGTATTTCTTCTTTTTCAGATTAAATTTAACAGTAAAGGATTTAATGGAAACCGTAGGCATCCATCCAACTATAGCAGAAGAATTCACAAGAATCAATGTCACTAAACGGTCAGGCAAAGATCCCAATCCTGCATCATGCTGCAGTTAAAGAAAAAATACTCATTTCCAAATATTTTTATTTTTGTATATGTACAGCCTAGTTAAGGTTATCCATCACTTTTGTATTAGTAAAATAAACACCCTGAAATATTTTGTCGCACCCCAAAAACTATTCAAATTAGATTTTTGTTATTTTGATTTAAAATCCTATAAACTCTGTTACGACATACTGTATTGCTGATAGTGAATGAAAATAAATAATTCTTAATATTTTTACTGGTGTTTTATCTTAACCTATAAAGAATGAATAATACAAAATTACTTAACACGTTCAGTGCCGGCAGTTAAATAGATAAACACACAAAGATCGAACGATGGAATGTGGCGAAGCTGAAAGAAGAAAATAATCAAAGACAGTAGCAAGTAGAATTAAGAAATAGGTTTTGGAAATAAATGAAAATGAAAGTGAAGATATAGATCAGTGATGGAACTCCATAAAAACAACTATTACAGAAGCAGCAGAGAAATATATCGGAAGAACGAAAAAAACAGAAAAGAAAATGGTTCGACGACGAATGTGAAAGAACTCTAAAAGAAGCAAACAAAAGAAGAATTTATTATCTGTCGAATCCATCAGAAGAAAAACTTATACGATTCCACAGAGAGAGAGAGAGAGAGCCGCAGCTAGAAGAACACTTAGACAAAAGAAGAGACAATATCTGCGGCAACTAATCGAAAAAGTAGAAGGAGAGCACAGACGAAATCAAAGTAAAAATTTCTACAGAGAGGTAAGACAACATAAGAGAGGCTCACATATAAGCACACCCAACTTCGTAAAAGATAAAAATGGAGGAATGCTGGTTGTCGAAAACAAAATAATAGAAAGATGGGCTGAATATTTTGAAGAGCTCCTGAATATCCAAAATTTCACTGATGAAAATGGTGGAAACAACGGAGAAGATGAGTATCAAACGGTATTACAAACAGAATTAGAGATACCCCCACCAAGCATGGAAAAAATTACGCATGCCATAAAAACGATAAATCCCCTGGTCTGGACAATATTGATACCAGGCTAATTAAAACAGGCGGTCATGAACTCATAAGTAAAATCCATCAATTAATAGAAATGGCCAGGCAACAAGAAATAATGCCGAAAGAATGGTGCGGTAGTATTATTGTATCAATACACAAGAAAGGAAAAAAGGAATCGTACTTCGGGGGTGGTGAAGCCTTGTTTTAGGCTCCATTCCTCTACTTAGGAGTTTTTCTGTATTTTTGGGACGATTTTCTGTTAATGACTTAAGACCGGCGCGGCGTAGGAGTCGAGGTGGGAGTTTAATGGAGCTTAACGTCGAGTCGATGTTTGGTGGACAACTTCGTCATGATCTAGTTGAGGTAGCCCGCTGATAAAAATACCAGATGCATCCAAAAATTGAACGATTCCTTTCAGAATTGATTGTACTTTATTTAGTATATCGCGTGGAGGTTAGCTGTGGCTAGTTCTTCACCTTGTTACAGATATCGTTGTGTAATGAGTTTGGAAAACCACAGAAAACCAATCTTCCTATGTCCTTGTGTAAATTAAATCGACTATGAAGGAGTTATGTAGTTTTTTCGATGACTAGTGGGTGCATTCTAGGAGCTAGAGCTTAGGTGGGATGTAACGGGATTAAAATCTGGTTTGTATAAATCTTTGATTTATATAAAAGTTGAAGGTTGACACTACGATTGCGTGTCCGTACATATTTCGGAAGATATTGGTAGGAGTTTTTTCAAGTAAGACGTAGAAAAAGATCATAGGAATGAGGTTAATTATCGATTTCATGTCCGAAGTGAGTTCGTAAGTAAATTTGTCTAGGATAGTGACTGTATGTGTGTGTTTCTATGTTGTGGGAGCACTTTTTCTGGCGGGACATTTGTGTGAATATGCCGAGTATGTGCCGCAATAGTTTGAACGGAACATAAGGAAGTGGCCTTATGATTGATGGTCTTCAATGTTTTTTGAGAAAAATTTTTGTTAACGCCTGTCATGACGAGATGGAGGTTTGCTTGGATTTTGGTTGTGACTTTTGTTGAGTGTTATTGAAATATATGGGGCCAATAGTGATGATCACGATATTGTTTCTTAGTTTTGTCTGGAATTCGTGGATATTTAGGGGTTAAAATGTGTTGAGGGGTGCTGTTTTGTCTAATGAATGGACTTTTAAGTGGGCTATGTTATTGGGAAGAAGTTCGTTTGATTTTAAAATATTGTTGAGAAGTGTTTTGTTGGCAAATGTTTGGTGAGATGTTTTCTATAAGGTATTTGCTTGGGTTGTGTTTTCTTGTTGAGTTATCTTATGTTTTTTTGTTGCTTGTGTGTGATGGTTCTGATCGATTGTTTGAGTTGATTGTTGTGTAGATTAAGTTGTATGTGGTTCGTTTTATGTTTTTGTATTGTAAGGTTGGGAGTAAAGGTTCAATAGGTATTGTTTCTGTCGCAGGTTCATGTTGTGTGTAACTGTAATGTTAATGTACTGTAATATGGGATATAAGGTATACGGGGTGATGTGTTGATTTTGGATTTGGTTGTAAGTGTGGCGGATTTGTAAGGAGAGTTGACTGAAAGTGACTTGAATTTTGATAGATGGGTAGATTTTGAGTTTTAAATAAATAATCGATTGAATCTGCGTTGATTGCGGAATTATTAAGGAATGAGTGCGTTTAGATTTGTTTATGTGATGTTTTCTGGGACTAGACGGAGGGGTGGGATGGGTAATTTTTGGTTCCGGGTAAAACTTTGAGTTTTTTCTGCAGAGGTTTGGCATTAATGGGATTCGTTGTGTAAAGGTAGGCTATTTTATTCAACTTGTTCACGTAGACTGCAAAGAAATTGTTTTCGTCTTCTAACATATCCGGAACGATTAGGATTAATGGGGTTTGACTGCAGAATTTGGTTAGAGATGTGGTTTATCGTGTATTTTGTATCGTGTAAGTGTGTTGCATCGAGTGATACAATGGACTTTTCGTTCTAGTAATCGTAATAGTTCCGTATACTCGCCGCTGCTTCCCTGAATTCCTCAGTTGTTTGAATCGGGCGTCCATCTATATTATTGGACACTCGGAACAACCGGGTTGAGTGTAAGCATACCGACTGGTATTAATAACTCGACTACTGTTTTTGTATGAGTTCTAAGTTGAGATCTATTGAGGGTTTTGTAACGTAAAAGTGTTTGTGTATTGTGTAATTTCTTTGATGTCATATTTTAAAGAGCTGCCTGAGTTTAAGATGTCTAAGAAAATTTCTAGTTGGTTGTAATACTCTGTGATTTATGGAGTGACTATGAATGATGAGTTTTGATGTGTATCTGTCAACAAAAGTAATGACAGATCTTCCGTTTGTTTACAAGTTTTCAATTTTATTTTATTATCTTTAACTTTAGTTTGCATTTATTCTTAGTAATTTTAATTTAAATTTGGTTACTTAGTTTTTAAAGTTTAGTTTGAGTTACCTATTGTAGCAAATCATTTTTGTGTTGTGCTAGTAAAAAAACTAAACATGGTGAATTATTGTATTATTCCGTTGTGTACAAATCATGGAAAAATTACAAAAAGGATGATGATAGTAAGTTTTCAGGAAGCAAAAAATAATAGTATTTAACTTCTGAAAATATGTGTAATATATATTATGTAATTAGTTTATAACTTTTTTATCTTAACAAATAAATATACGTGTATCTAGAAAAAATTGTGCATATTTTATTTATCCTTAATTTCCAGTAAATTTGAATTAGTAAAGAAATAGCCCGCAAGAGGCGATAAATGTTTTGTATGTAGAGGGTGTCTATTCGAATTTGCCGCCAAAAGTGATTAGTATTGACCCCAGCCGCAAGGGGTCTTAATGAACGAAATTTATACATTGAGTTGCCTATCTATTTCTACTATTATATTATTTATCTATGGTCCAGGTTGTCACCTGGAGGATGGTAATTGTTGTGTTGTGTGTTTGTGGTTGTGTATACCTCGAATTGTGAGGCATATTTCGGCTAGATGGAGTTTTTTATTAGAAGATGGCTATTTTTAAGTAAAAACTTCTTTAGCGATGTTGAACACTTTTTTGATGGGAAACAAATCATTACATACGCGACAGATTTTTGCGACCGTCATCAATACGTAAATTGTTCGCAAAAGGGGCACAGCTCGAGAACTGTTCTACGGATCGTGACATATAAGGTGTTGTCGGAAAGAGAAGAAGGTAGCTAGTACAACTGACAAAAAAACAAACGTATCGGAATTACCAAAGGGGCATTACATTACATCTTCGTTGTTTTGGTGCTATTGAAGCGTGTGATACATTATATGAAAAAGGAATGGAAAAACGATTATATTAAGATAAAAAAACAAACAAGGCGACTACCAAAAAGGCACTGCATAGTATCTTGATTATTAATAAACATATAATTACATATGATATATAGGGCACTACGGATGAAAATAGGTCTACTAAAGTCAAAAAAAAATTGAATTATTGACTTGAAGAAGGCCTCTGACTGAAAATAAAATAAAAAACTGATGCAATTCGAAAATGCGATATACAAATGAAAGGGGAGGGGATAACGATTACATGAAGATAGAACAACAAACAAGGCGACTACAAAAAGAGCACTAGACAGCATCTTTGATTTTAATGAGTGTAGAGTTACATACCAGATTTCATTGGTCACTACGAATGAAAATAAATTTACTATAAGACAAATTTTGATTTATTGAGTTAAAGAAGGCCTCTGGCTGAGTACAAAATAAACAACTGATCGAGTCTTAATTTGAAACATAGGATATAACAAATATATTAAGCTTAAGCAAAAATAAACTAGGCGACTACCAAAATTGCACTACACAGCATCTTCATTATTATTGAAGGTATGGTTATAGTAGATCGGAGCAGGGCCCAATTGTAGGCCCTTCAAATACTTAGACCTGACTAGTACTAAAGAGCCCTCCAATCACAGGTTTGAGTCCCACAGGCAGAGTAGATGAGCCCTGTATTGCCAGGGCGTCAGCCCGTTCGTTCCCCTTCATGCCTGTGTGTCTCAGTACACATACCAAGTTAACCCTTATTTGGTCAGTGCTTTAAAACTCAAAAACCAGCTTAGAGTATCCTAAACCATGCTAGAATGCATCTAATACATTTCTTCATGTTTTTCAAGAATTAATTATGGATTCTTCGTTAATTCTTTGCCTTAGCTTTGCAACAGTTTTATAAATTTTACTTTTAAAGTATGCCAAATAAA